CCAGTTTGGACATTTTCACTTAGGGGTGTGCTCACTTTTGTGGCCAGCGGTTTAGATATTAATGGCTGTGTGTTGAGTTATTTTGAGGGGACAGCAAATTTACACTGTTATACAAGCTGTACACTCACTACTTTACATTGTAGCAAAGTGTCATTTCTTCAGTGTTGTCACATGAAAAGATATAATAAAATATTTACAAAAATGTGAGGGGTGTACTCACTTCTGTGAGATACTGTATATATATATATGAAATAAATATAATAATTAAAACAGTTTTCATTCTCAGGTTTTTGGACTCCATCCACTGCACATGACCAGCATCTGTGAGAATGATTATTCGGCACGATGCCACAGAAAGTGAAACCAAGCGACTGATAAAACTGTTGTGTCATTTGTCTTGGCTAGTTAGCACAGAATCTCGGATTAACATGCAAGTGATTGCTATCATCGCTGGACACTTTGTCGCATCGTGCCCGTGTGGGACATGGTGTAAGGCATTTTTACCTAAACAATGAGATGGCATTCATGATTATTTTTAACCAACCACTTGGAGCGACTCTGTTTGTGATATGTTTTCAGTGCCATACAAACACAGACACACACACACACACACACACACACACACACCAGCACTAATGGCTCCAGCCACTCCATGGCACTGCTGAAAACCCCCTGCTGTTGCTTTAGAACGCTGCTGTGTGTTTTGGCTCTGGTGGACGTGACCTCGGATCTGGCTCCTCTGTGTGCTGTGATTAAGTGTGACTCACTGCTGTGATCTCCATACAGAGGGACTGACTGGAAAGCAGTCTCAGCACAAGTTGACAGGAAGGGTTAGGACCACATCAGCTGTGCTGGGGCTCTTCTCGAAGAAGACACAGATGGCTACCACCCAGGACTGGCCACTAGGCAATCCTAAAGAAGTGTGCCATTGAAATATATATGAAATACAGTGCAATATCTTTAAAAACAGGCCCTTATTAGTTAGTCACAGCACCAATATTTCAGTTGTCTCAACTAGGTTGTTTACATAATTAAATAAATACCACGTTCTGTCATGAAAGTCTAGATGGCGCAGACTGATGGGTCCTTAACGTAAACTGATGATATTCTTAGCATTAAACGACTTGTCACAAGCTGATTGGTTCATGTCACATACGCAGCCAATGAGCTTGTTGCTTTACATTTAAATGGCTGATTAGCATTCTCTTAAGCAATACTCACAGCATCATATCGGCTTATGTATTGGCAGTTGCAAGTTCCTGTACTTGCTTGCAGCAGCAGCAGAAATAATCTACAAATACAGCAATAACCAACAGCAGCAGCAGCGTAGCAGATCTATTCCGCCAAGACCAAATACATTAACATTGTCATATCCATTACCATGCCTAAAATCTTCAGAGAGTTCTCATGATAGAATTGCCATTACACAAAAGCCAAAAGTAGTGAATAAAACAATAGCTGAAAATATTTAGTTTGTATTAAGTTGAAAACATATTTTCCTACCCACTATTAGAGTCATATTAAGATGTATAAAGTCTTAATTTAATAATAAAAATCTTAACATTAATATTTACATATATTTAATATAAATATTTAAATATATAAATATTGGTAGAGGGGTCTCTGCATCCTCTAGGCTTGGAAGTATCTGGTTGGGTTCTGGCATGATGGCTATGTTAGATGAGGATTCTGGCGGTAGAGCGGGCGATGGGCTGAGCTCGAGGACGAGAGCAGGCACTGGGCTGAGCTCGGGGATGAGAGAGGGCACTAGGCTGAGCTTGCTGGATGTGAGCGGGCACTGGACTGTGCTCAGGGACTAGAGCCATCACTGGGCTGTGCTCGGGGGCTGGAGCCATCATAAGAGTTAATTCATAAGTACGAGCGGGCTCTGATGAAGATTCCGTACCCAGAATGGGCTCGATCCAGAACTCTGAGACTAGAACAGACTCATTACTGAATTCTGGGGCTGAAGCAGACCCGTGATGGAAGTAGAGGAAATGATCGGATTCTGGGGCTGGAGCTGACACTGGAGTGGACTTGGTGGGTTTGAGAGCGCAGGCCTTGGGATGCTTGCTGCTCACGCTGACATCAGCGGTGGATCCACCACGTTGGATGCTAGTCTTTTCCACCTCAAGATGGATCTGGTGGCAGGCCTGATGGCTGAAGACATTGGTGTATTGGCAGGAATTGCAAAGCGGCATTACGTCACAAAAATGTGGACTCAGAGGAAGACCACAAAGGTTTAGGGTGTGATTTGGGACAGGGCCATTGCAGGAATTCCTCCACGTAGGTTTCATTTGCCCTGGCCATCTTGCAAGATGGAACACAAGGTCTCTTCCACTGAGTCCATCAGGATTCAACTTTAGGTACGGTCTGGTCTATATAACAGAATAACAGTAATAACAGAAGAGGTTGACACGATGGGAATGCGAATAACACTGTCTTTATTTACAAGCAGTTCCAGACAGCTGAGATTCAAGTAGGTGAGTAGGTACTTCAAAGTATAACATGAAACTTAACTGAATATTAAAGAGCCCTTATGTTTTACAGGTACTGGCTGGCGTGGCTGAAGACTGGGGCTGAAGACATGCTGTACACAGGTAAGTCTCCAAGGTAGATGGAGTAGATGGTTAAGTCTGTCTGTTTGAAACAACGTTGGTAAGCAGTTCTTAAGCAAGGGTGATATAACAGTCCTATAGTAGTGACGAGACCAAACAATGAATGAGTGTTTGGTGCTTGCTTATATAGGGAAACTGATGAGGTTGATGGCAAACGTGTGAAGATTGAGCTGAGTGTGAGGGTGATGGCCAGGGAGGATTATGGGAAATGTGGTGCTTTGTGGTGACAGGCCTGGTGAAAGGAGATTGTGACAATAAAGTCTTCAAGTATTCCTCAGTTAATTAAATATTCCTTTCAAATACAGTCAGTAATAAAAAACAGAAATAAATTGAGTGTTTTTTTTGTCAATAATGCCATTTAATTAATTTTAATGACATAATAGACAGTGCTGGATTTATATGGCTGCATCTAAGATGAAAACTATTAAAAATTGTTTATGTAAACTGAAATAAAGCTGAAAGTAAATAAAAATATTATTAATATTAGAAACTTAAATTATGAAAAAAATCCTGCCTTGGCAAATAAATGAAATAAAATAAGTTTAATTTGAAGAACTAAAATTGCTAAAATTAAAACTGAAATAAAAAAAATAAATTAATGCTAAATAGGAAGATTTTAGAAAACAAAAGCAAAAATGACAATAAAATAAATAAATACAATAATAAAAAATAAAATTAAATAAAATATTTTTTAAAAATCGAATTCAAAACATTAATAAATAATACTAAAATAACACTGCATGGCTGATTCCACAAAATGTCACATGCCAGTTTACAACCACTTATAATAAACTGACTTTGTTAACATTT